ATTAAAAGCACAAGTTTAACTCAAAAACATAACCAAATCATAAGCTAGAAGGGTACAAAATGATATACAATTATGAACCGATCACCGTCTCTTTTCAAGTAAAAACTCTTCTTCCTTCTCACAAACTCTACAAACTCGAAGTATGTCAAGTTTAACTGAAATCTCTTTTTCTTTGTGGTGAGTTTGAAATGGAGGGAAATGGGGTGTTTATATATTAGGTGATGGTGGAGGCAAGGAGGAGGAGGAGGTGACACGTAATGAGGTAAACGCGGCTGATGGGGAGCTCTAGAGCCATGCTGTGTCGACACGCAGTTGTTTTCAGTATGTGAAAATTGTGTTTGACATGCAGTAAGAATGACACGAGTCCATTGCTTTGTGGTGACTCACTGAATCATCAATGTATGAGGAGGAAACCAAATATGGACAATGTCTACCTTAAATTGGCACCAAATAATGTTTTCTCTAATGGCATGATCAATGTGGTGAAGTTTATTTGACTTTGTATAATTCATTCAATTTATAGAATAGAATGGTCATGTTTGGATGATAATAATGAGTTTAATGAAGAAAATATTAAGTCATACGGTCAATGAAAATGTTTAAATTCAATAATTTCTTTATATCATAGAAACAACTGAATTGAACATATACACGACACGAGAGCTGATAATGATTCTTAATCACTTGAGCTACAAGCTTGATCCAGTCTCTCAACAAGATCCCTCATTATATAAGCTCCTGAGTCGTACTGTATCACATCTAAAGTCTGAAATTTTAGTGGACCATATAAGTGGGCCTCAAATGGCCTCAAGACAATTGTAACCATCATGTTTCTCATTGAGGGACCGTCCAACAATTATAGCCCAAGTTTGAAGGGGCATTTTCTGCTTAAAAAGCCTGCTTGTGTGGAACCCACCACCAAAGCCGGGGGCCCATCAGATCCAAAACACGAGGCCACCTGAATTTGCTGCGACAAATCCCGAGTCACGGCGTCTCCAACTAGAAGATTCTCATTTCATCGTCACCATTTGTTGTTTGTTTACGCATCAAACACATGGTTATGTGACAGCAAAACAAAGTGCACCGTACTTAATCACTAATTAATTACCCCTAATGGCTGCTTAATTCTTTATTAACGAACAAAGAAGAAGAAGGCGGCTAATTTCTTCAAGGAGAAGAAGAGAACAGAAGAGAGAGACTAATTTCTCTTCTTCCTCTTCTTCTTCTCAACAAAACCCTGTTTTCATTTCCCACAGAGAGATTCAGTGTCACAAAACCATGAATGAAAACCAAAATGAAAGCCCCAATCCGACGGCCAGTCCAACCAAGAGGCCCATCCCGCCGTACGTCAAGGCCTTGTCCGGTTCGCTCGGCGGGATCGTGGAGGCGACGTGTCTGCAGCCCATCGACGTCATCAAGACCCGGCTCCAGCTGGACCGGACCGGCGCCTACAAGGGAATTATCCACTGCGGCGCCACGGTTTCGGGCACCGAAGGTGTTCGCGCTCTCTGGAAGGGCTTGACCCCCTTTGCCACTCATCTGACCTTGAAGTATGCGCTTCGGATGGGCTCCAATGCGATGCTTCAGGGCGCGTTCAAGGACGCTGAGACTGGGAAGGTCAGCAATCACGGGCGGCTCATTTCTGGATTTGGAGCTGGAGTTCTTGAAGCTCTTGTTATCGTTACTCCTTTTGAGGTTAGTGCATTTGTTTTCAGGTTTCAATTGCAAAATGATTTTTTATTGTTGGAATTTATGGTTATTTGAATGTGGGTTAGATTTGTATCGTGGGTTTCAGTTGATAATTTTAGAAAAGCTAAAAATTTTCATTTGTGGATTTCTCTATGCTCTGGCAATTGTGGCTTAACTCAGTTCATTAACAGAGAATTTAAAGAATTAGCAGGGCAGTTAGGGGTATCAGTAATTACTTCGAAATTTTGATGACTGATAAGAAAATTTAGGGAAAATACTAAATCAATTTGTTTATTGAGGAACCAGCTTAGCTTTTGAATTGCTCATTACACTTATTAAAGCCATTCTCTTCATTGTAAGCATTGGTTTGAAGTTTGAACATGTATGCACTCTAAGCATCAATCTGGGATCGTTTAAATACTTCTGTAAGTTGTATTAATTAAACTTAGTTTGCAGCTGTAATGGTTAGCTGGTTAAGTTACTTTAAGTTTAAGTTGCTGAGTTGTTCATTCAATACAATACAACCATTCTACATGTTCATTGTGAGCATTGTCTTGGCTCTTGATGAAGAGTTAAGAAGTTGAATTGGAATTTTGTTGGTGCAGGTGGTGAAAATTAGACTGCAGCAACAGAAAGGATTGAGTCATGATCTTCTAAAGTATAAAGGTCCTATTCACTGTGCTCGTACAATCATCCGAGAGGAAGGTATCCTTGGCCTCTGGTCAGGGGCTGCTCCAACTGTCATGCGAAATGGGACAAACCAGGCTGCCATGTTTACAGCCAAAAATGCTTTTGACGTTCTCTTGTGGAAGAAACATGAAGGGGATGGGAGGGTCCTGCTGCCATGGCAGTCTATGATATCGGGTTTCCTTGCAGGCACAGCAGGTCCCATTTGCACGGGTCCCTTTGATGTAGTGAAAACAAGACTGATGGCTCAGAGCCGAGGTGAGGATGGCCAGATGAAATACAAAGGCATGATCCATGCTATCAGGACAATATATGCAGAGGAAGGGCTTCTTGCCTTGTGGAAAGGACTGCTGCCTCGGCTCATGAGGATACCACCTGGGCAGGCCATTATGTGGACGGTGGCTGACCAAGTAATAGGATTGTATGAGAGACGATATCTTCCGAGTGCACCTTTGTAGGTATCATCATTTCATTGGTTTGCTTGTTCTGGTTTTCTAGTCCATTGAAAGCATACGATCCTCAAATCATCTTCATTCTTAAGAGTTAGCATTTCTTCTTTGAGTTTCTTTTGATTCTCTGAATGAACTTTTTTGGACGGTATCAATATTTTTGAAGTTTAGGTGGGAGAATAGGCAACTTCTCATCTTACAGAAATGAATTCAATATTGTTTTCGATATGAGTGTGAGAATGTGTCAATGGAATTACAATTTTTGTGTTCTCTCTATGTCAATCCTATTTTCTTCATGTTTGTATCAAGGGAGTGAAATGCATTTTAGGCCCTATAATCCCGTTGCGCATAATGGTTGGGCCAACTCCTCGGCCTAGCCCATGGTTGCTGTCTCTGTTGCAAAGCCCCTCATGGTTTATGGCTCCATAAACCATGCAGAATAGCAATAAATTGACTTGATATTAGGGGTGGCCAGTGGCCACAATTCAATCCGGTTCGAATCGGTTTCACACCAAACCTGCGGCCAAGTACCTTTAATGGATCAATTTTGTTAGCTTTTAACTATAGTCATGGATGAAAGTTCGGTTCGGTTTTGGTTTGGCATGTTTAGTTTGTTTTAGGGGTCTGAGTTTGGCATGTTAAGTTCAAGCCCAAGTTTTTATTTATTTATATTTTCTAGAATGGGAAAATAAATTGGGCCCAAGGCCCCAGTCCAAGTAGACAAAAAGAGGTAAAAAAGGAAAGAAAGAATCAAGGTACAAGCACACCAGTGCGAGGAATTCCAATGTACTACAAGTCGCTGCACCTCACCACGCTCCCAACGGAGGGAAAATACACTAACGGCCACATTAATTACTACTTCGCAAAAAGAAAAAAGAAAAAGTAGAATGTAAGAAGGTGAAGTAATTTAAAAATAAGTAAGACAAAATAAAAACCCTACCGTAAGCAGTAACGCAAAATCCTATATAAGCAAACGCAGCCGCACGTTGAAACCCTAGCTCTCTAGTAAGCCACCACCTTCCTTTCGGTACAAATTCGTCCATTTCTCTGTTTATAAACCCTAACCCCAAACGCCTAACTCAGAGCTCCGCACTCTGCTCATCACCTCAAATTTTCTTCCAATCAGGTCTGCGATTAATAGCTACTCGGATTGTGTTTTCGTATTGCTTGTGCTCATCTGCAGCACATTTAGACGCTTGTTTTTTGCGTTTCTCTGATTAAATTCTGATTAAATTCTTGGTTCTCGATTTTCAGGTTTTAGAAGTTGGAGAATTTACAAGGTCCCGAAACGATGTCGGACGATGAGAGGGAGGAGAAGGAGTTGGATCTCAGCTCTCCTGAAGTAGTCACCAAATACAAGAGTGCTGCTGAGATTGTTAACAGTAATTTTCTCGCTTTTTCTCTCATTTATAACCGTCGCAAATACATACGTATTACACTTTTGAATATTGATATACTTTTATGGCTGACTATGTTGATTACATTTGGGAAATTCTTGCAGAGGCTCTGCAGTTGGTAATATCCGAATGCAAACCGAAAGCTAAGATTGTGGACCTTTGTGAGAAAGGTGATTCATACATCAGAGAGTAAGTATCCCATGAATTAATTTTTTCTCGTTGGCATTGAAAATTTGTTTATTTTAATTAGAATTTATTACTTATGGCTGTGTTGATTTGTCCCTTTAATGCGATGATTTATGGGTCGTGTTGTTTTTATATTTTTTAGGCAAACTGGTAATATGTACAAGATGATTTATGGGTCGTGTTGTTTTTATATTTATTTAGGCAAACTGGTAATATGTTAAAAAAATGTGAAGAAGAAGATTGAACGAGGTGTTGCCTTTCCAACTTGCATTTCTGTGAACAACACTGTATGCCATTTTTCCCCGCTTGCCAGTGACGAGACAGTGTTGGAAGAAGGAGATATTCTCAAGATGTAAGTTTTGTCTCATAAGTTTCTTTTTATTACTTCTGCTGTTTTTGAAAGATAGCTAAATGTTATATGAACTGAATATAAGCTTGTAAGTAGGAACATATTGATGGTTTTTTGTTCTCCTGCAGTGATTTGGGTTGTCATATTGACGGGTTCATTGCCATAGTTGCACATACTCATGCTCTTCAAGCAGGGCCTGTTACAGGAAAGGCAGCTGACGTTATTGCAGCTGCTAATACTGCAGCTGAGGTTGCCTTAAGGCTTGTAAGGCCAGGAAAAAAGGTAATTTTGTTTGCTAATTATTATACTTTTTTTAATGTTAAACAAAAGGATTCTGAATGGTTGCATTGTTTTGTTTTGGGGGTCTAGAATTGGATTTCTTGTGTAATCAAGTAGCCTCCTTGCATTTCTTAGCATAACTCAAGACTTGTCGCATATTCTTCTATTTTCATGTTATACTTTGAATCTACATTTGCTTTTCTGTTTGATTTTTAAACTCGGAATACGTGTTTTATGCACATTGCATCCCCTGATGATGAGATGTTAGTATAAGCTATGGACTTACATCCAAATGAAGCTTTTTGTCATAGTTACACTGAAGGGGAAATGTACACTATTGAATTGAGGGTGAATCTTGGTACAGTGGTGGAGTTGTTCCATTGAAACAGAAGAAAACCCTTTCGTCAACTTGGGAAGTCCACCTGAGACAGTTTTAAAATGCTCTCTTTCTTTCTCATATCTTTTTATCGCTCTTGTTCTCCGTGTTGGAAGGCCACATGTTTCCGATGTTGATGTCAAGCTGTTCTGATGCTGATGTCTGCTAGTATAATCTGCACTCGCTGTTCCAACCCATGTTGGAATAAATAATTGCACAATGATATAATATGTCATTCTATCGAACATCAAGTTTTGAAGGCAACTTTGCCGAGGAAATCTATGATTTATTGGTTTCCTCTTTTTCCCTGTTGCCTATATTATGCTTGGCTTTGGATGGGCTGATGTGGTGTACACTTATTTTGTTCATCCTAATGTCCTCTCTGGGCCGACATTGTTGCAATCCCTTAGAATATACTATTCTTGTTGGACTTGCGTGTCTTGAGCTAGCTGGGAGTTTGTTTTAATTTCTTTTCATGGATTAGATGTTTTTGTATAACTAGTCTTTCTGCTGTGTTATTATTTATTATATAGGAACAATCAACAAGGTCTAGTTCATACTTTTTTTGTGTGTGGGATGTCTCTTCAATTAACATGATCTCTCTAGATGATGATAAGCTATCACTGGCTATGGATTGAATCCAATTAAGCTTTTTGTCATAGTTACACTGATGGATGATTGTGTTTCTTTCATTCCATTTGTTCTTTTGAACCTTTCCATCTCTCTTCATCCAATGAATGACCATGGATTGTCATGTGCTTTCTTGTCAGTGCATTGGAAGTAAGATACATATGGAAGCCCTTTTAGTCATTTTTACTCAAATGTTGCAATTTGCTCTCCGTCAGTTGGTTACTTTTCCCTTCTTACTGCATCAGTAAAAGACGTTGGTTTATCTTTAAACTATTTATTGTGTTCCATACTTCTATATGATGAAACTTGTCAAAAGCTATGGACCAACATCCAAATGAGGCTTTTTGTCATAGTTACTCTGATAGGATAGTGAAATTATTTAGGGGTTGTTTTTTAACTGTGTTCATTTATGTTATTTATTACTTTTCTGTGAACTCTTCTGTGTTTCTTGTAATGTGGTTGCCTTCTACCATGCAACTTTGCCGAGGTGATCGATATCCTATTTGGTTTTCCTCCTTTCCTTGTTGCGTAGATGAACTGGCTACATTTGGTGCCTAGTGCAGATGTATTTGTTGTCTGCAATCATCATTCAAATTAGCCAACATCAAGTGCTTTGCTCTCTTACTTGTGCATTGTCATAAGAAAGAAAAAAGAGAGGCCTAATTGAGTAATTTGTAGTTGTAGGCAACTTTGCCGAGGTAATTGGTACCTTATTGATTTCCTCTTTTTCCCTGTTGCCTAGACTAACTGGCTACATTTGGTGCCTAGTACAGATTTATTTGTTGTCTGTGCGATCATCATTCAAATTAGCCTACATAATTTGATGGAGATCTTTGTATGTAACAATGCATAATGCTTGCTTTGTGCTATATATGAAAATAGATTTGAACATGTGCACATGAATTCTATTCTTGTACTGAAATTTTCTTCTGTATTTATTTCATTTTTCATTTCTTTTTCTGGCTGCAGAATAAAGATGTAACAGAGGCGATCCAAAAGGTTGCTGCAGCTTATGACTGCAAAATTGTTGAAGGTGTTCTTAGCCATCAGTTGAAGCAGTTTGTGATAGATGGGAACAAGGTCATATTAAGTGCATCCAATCCAGATACAAGAGTTGATGAGGCAGAATTTGAGGAGAACGAAGTTTATTCAATTGATATTGTCACAAGCACAGGTGAAGGAAAGGTAATGAAGAAGTCACGATCAGCCAGCCCAACCACCATTGTTATGCTACGTTATCTGATTTTCCATCAACACATTTTATGTCAATTTGCAGCCTAAGCTGTTGGATGAGAAGCAGACGACTGTCTATAAGAGAGCTGTTGACAAGAATTATCACCTGAAGATGAAAGCTTCTAGGTTTATTTTCAGTGAAATAAGGGAGAAGTTTCCCATCATGCCATTCACTGCTAGGTTTGTTAAAATAATGTTATTTCCTACTTTATTTGTCACTGGTTCTTCAGTTTCTTTTGTTTCTCTTAAAAAAACTGTACTGTCTTGCCATCAGAGCTTTGGAAGAGAAAAGGGCTAGGCTGGGTTTACTTGAATGTGTCAACCACGAGCTTCTGCAGCCATATCCTGTTCTTCATGAGAAACCTGGTAACAATCTTCCTACTGGGACTGGCTTTTAGGAAATTTAAATTCTTCTGTGACCCTGATTCTAAATCCATTTATTGGTTGTTTTGCAGGTGATATGGTTGCCCATATCAAGTTCACTGTCTTGCTGATGCCAAATGGATCAGATCGGATTACATCTCATCCTGTACAGGAGCTGCAGCCCACCAAACAAATAGATGATCCTGAAATCAAAGCCTGGTTGGCTTTGGGGACAAAGACCAAGAAGAAAGGTGGCGGCAAAAAGAAAAAGGGTGAGCAAGAGAAAATTTTGAGCAAATAAGTCAATTGTTTGCGGATTTAACAATGTTATGAAGAACTTTTAGGTTTAATTGTTGGGAGAAGGAATCCTGATGTATTTGCACATTGTAGGTAAGAAGAGTGACAAGGCTGAGGAGTCTACAGAAGCCGAACCAATGGATGCGACAACAAATGGTGCTGAGTCTCAAGCATGAGCCCTTGTTTCTTGTTAGCGATCAGATTTCAATTTTGGTTCTTTTCTCTACCCCTGTTGTATCTGGTTGGATATTAATTTAATATAGTGTTCAGACTTTGATTCCAGCCGGGTTTTCTCTACGTTTCAAATTCCAGTTCTTGCCGTTTACTTGTGTATCATCGAATTTTGTTGTCGATTAACATTATATTTAATTTATATAAGAACCTAACATAGACAATTGAGTTGAGGCTGTCAATATATCAACCAAAATTTCGAACCGAATTGTTTTTATGAATCTCTCTTGGTTATGTACGATGGGAGTTTAAAGAAATTGGGTTTTACAACCTCTTCCTTTTTTTTCTTTCAATATTTCATCGAAATGCTAATGATATCGGCGAAAGAGAACTTGTGATTTTGGTATTGCTGTGGTTGGAGATGGAGATCGAATTCGGATGTAGGGATTAGGGTTTGAAGAAAGGATAGAAAGGTTTTATATTCTCGCTCTGTCAACGATAGAAAGGAGAGTAGATTATAATTTTTAAATTCTGAATATCAAAATATCAAAATGTGATTGAAGTGAAATTTCTATAACATTGTGCATAAGAATATCGACAGATATCAGCTTTACGCTGCTCAAGATTTGATGAACTTAGCATCAGAATGTGTTCTTGAATCCAAGGGCTGAGTGATATCCGACCGCTAAGATCCTACGGCTCTGGCGTTCATCTAAGCTGAATAGTCACCTCAAGCATGCAGAGCGTAAAGAAGAAAAGCGCGTGATGGCGGTGCGTTCCCTTACACAATCAAGAACTCTGAAATACTATTGGTCAGTTTGCGTGGGAACACATCATCACGCCACGTGTACCTAACGGCCTTAAAGACGCGAAGCATCTGGATTTGTTTAGATCCCTCGAATTCCTTTATAAGCCCTCAATTTCAATCTCCTCCCTCCCTCTCTCTCTCTCTCTCTCTCTCTCTCTCTCTCAGCTGCGTCTAAAACGTACACACAGCTTTCGTACGGAAAAACCATTAAAAAGAAAACATCCCTAACAAATCTTGAAAAAATCTGAGTGTAAATTTCGTATTCGAATATGGGGAACCGGTTAGTGTTGTGGATCTTCTTGTCGGCGTTGCTCTTCTTCTTAACCATGGAAGCAACAACCATAGACCCTTACAAGGTATTGTTCTCATTGCTCTTCCTTCATTCCTTTCCTCTAATTTTTCCTCTTATTCCAGTTTAATGTGAATGAATTGAATGTAAATAGAGCGGTTTTGATTTTGAATATGGAGTTCTATGATCGAATCACGTTCTAAAGAATTTTTTTTTTCGTTTCATATGCTTGGTTTTGAGATTGAAAAGAAAAGAAAATTTGACAAAATTGATAATGAAAAAGTTTCAATCAACACTTGAGATAAACAAAAGGAACTGAATTTAACGACTTTTTTTATTTATAAAAAGAACTGATTAATCGTTAGTTCTGTACTTATTTACTCATTTTTTAGAAATGGTTTCAAATTCTTATCAGGTCCTTGGAGTCGAGCGGAATGCAAGCCAACGTGAAATTCAGAAAGCTTTCCACAAGTATGTTCCAATAACCATTTATAAAATTTTTGTGCCCTCTAAATGCAATTACTTGGCTAGGATTTTCTAGATGAATTTATGCAAAGCGAGATCATAATGTGCTTTATTTTGTGCTGATCACTGGGAATGAATTTTTTTTTCTTGGTGATGGTCATTATCTAGGCATTGAAAGTATTGACACTTAATGTGACCTCTAAGCTCATTTATGATATGTATACATCAGTTAGGATGGTCATAGTCTGTGCAAAGTGTTGTTATTGGTTTGGGTCCCGTTGGGGCTGGCACAAGTGCCAAACTATAAGTTTTCTCAGGCCTGAATCTGTCACTATAGGCCCTTAACATACAGTGCACCTTGGTGGGGGTGTTGGGCAATGACAGTTAGTGCTTGTGCAACTGTGTTGAGCTGTTGTTGTAGGATGATAGTTTAAATATCTCGAATATGTGTGTCTTTACAACATTGTAGTTGCCAGAATAAGCAGTTCATTGCTTTCTTTTGTCATATTTGTTACTATGAGACTAATATATGTTTCATGATACATTAAATAAAAAAGTTGGGTGTTCTTTGACCAATATTGAAGTTAGAGTTTCTTTACAAAATTGTAGTTGCCAGAATAAGCAGTTCATTGCTTTCTTTTGTCATATTTGTTACTATGAGACTAACGTATGTTTCATGATACATTATATAAAAAAGTTGGTGTTCTTTGACCAATATTTAAGTTAGAGTTTCTTTATTTTCTCTAAAAAGGAGTAGTAATGTTTCTTCTTTTGCTTTAGGATAATTTTGCTTAACTTTATTGATCCATATTACCTAGAAGGTTGTAAAGTCGTGTTCTGGGATATATAATTGGCTCTCTAAAAGTTTCTCATTGTGTGAGTGTTTGTGCTGTGCTTGTGCATTCGTAATGCAAATGCTTATAACACAACAAAGAAATACAGAAAGATACATGTAACATGCATTTGTGTCCAGACACGTTGTGTCACATGCTTTTTACTTTACTCAAGCTCATTTGAATAATTCCCTGTAGGCTTTCTCTTCAATATCACCCGGACAAGAATAAGAACACGGGAGCTCAAGCAAAGTTTTCTGAGATAAACAATGGTATAACCTCCTGACTTCTCTTCAGTCTATGCTTCCTTTCCTTTTGCCTTTTTGGTTGGATTTTTTTCAATTCATATATATCTATCCTGCTGTAGTGGCCACTTCCTCATAAGTTTGTACTTAATGTCGATTTGTTTCTTCTTTATTGTTAGCATATGAGATTTTATCAGATGAAGAGAAGAGGAAAAATTATGACACGTATGGAGATGAGAAGGGCAGTCCTGGATTTGGAGCTGGTTCTCCCGGAGATCATGGTGGATATACTTACTTCACAAATGGTGGACCAGGAAAAAACCAGTATACCAATGGACCAAGTGAGTGGCAGAGCATGGGTGGGCAGGGAGGTTCCAAGTCATTCTCCTTTTCTTTTGGAGGTCCCAGTGGTCCAAGTTCATTTGGTTTTGGTATGGACGACATTTTCTCAAACCTTTTTGGGGGAAAACCTGGAGGTTGGGGTCAGTTTAGTGGTTTCAGTGGTTCAACTGGGTCTCGGCCAGGGTCTCAACCTGGGTCTAGGAGTTCCCCAGTGAGCATTAGTGCCATCAGTTCACAGGTGTATAAGAAAGAAATAGTTGACCAAGGGATGACTTGGCTATTGTTATCTTACACACCGTCATTGAAGGGGCATCAACATGTTGAATCTATCATAAAGGAAGTTGCCAGTTCACTGCAGGGAGCTTTAAAGGTATGTGCAGATTCTTATTCGGTCCCTACTCCCTACCATCTGATCTGCCATTGATCGCCACATATGCTCATTCTCTCCTTTTCTTTTGTCAGATTGGAAGCATAAACTGTGAGACAGAACCATCTCTCTGTAAGGACCTCGACATATACCCTCGCAGAATGCCCAGGGTATTTGTTTATTCTTACAAAGTGAGTGAAAGGGGTTCTTTGGTTGAGTATGATGGTGATTGGGCTGCAAAACCTTTAAAAATGTTTTGCCAAGATCATCTTCCAAGGTTTTCAAAACGGGTTGACTTGAAACACTTTGAGTCCTCCACTGTCACAGTCCATAAATTGCCTAGTGTTGTGCTTCTTTCCACCAAGAAAGATACACCTGTTATCTGGCGTGTCCTCAGTAGATTGCATCACAATCACTTCCTTTTCTATGATGCAGAGGTATGTGGTGATTATTTGTTGAATTAATTTACTCAATTTTCCTTTTCTGAGTCTTTTTAATATAAGATGAATCTAGTGTCTTTGGCTATGGAATTGCTTTAACTGACTTCTTGAAGGAATCAGAAGCCTTTTCACTGTAACAATTTCCTGACATCCATCCTAAAAATCTGTTAGAAAGAATGAGGCAATGTATATGCTTAACAGAAGGGTAGGGTGCAATGATGATCCCGATACTTCCATGACAAAGTGAATCATATACTTTTGCTTTTCAGGAAAATGTGCTTTGGTTGTTTGCATTCACCTTAATTTTTTTTTTCTCAATTATAAAAATAACAACTTTTTAAAAAATTATTTCACAATGACCATGCAGGTCCATGAAGTTTCTGATCCAACAGTGAAGAAGCTAGGAGTTGATGCACTTCCAGCTATAGTTGGTTGGCTTTCAAACGGGGAGAAGCATGTCCTAAAAGCAGGCATTACCATCAAAGATATGAAGTCGGCAATTAATGAGCTTAGTGCTTTACTTGAAGGTTTTGAGAAAAAGAGCAAGAAGGCAGCTTCAAGTCAGGCCAAGAAGTCAGCGACTGGGGAGAAGCAAATACCCCTACTGACAGAGTTTAATTTTGATGCTCTTTGTGGTGAGAAAACTCCAGTTTGCATCATTGGTGCATTCAGGTCTTCCAAAGAAAGAAAGAAGTTGGAATCAATTTTGAACACGGTGAGTATACTTTCTCTTGTATTGAGGCACTACTATCCAAAACATCTGTTTCTTCACATGAAAATGATGAGCTTTGTCTAAAAAAATTGAATGTCTTTGAACTTTGTCTGACTAGCAGCCTCAACCCATGTGACCTGCTAAATTTATAAACCAGAAGTTTTCGTTAAGGATTCAAATGTAGTCCCTAAACTATCTGCTTGACTGGCTATTGTTACCCAAATCACCTGACCATGATCTTTTTATGGAAATTGCTTTTTTTTTCTTTAGTAATTTGCTTCATGATGTTTGCTTTCAGCTCTCTCAGAAATCACTATCAAGGCAACAGAATTCAGCCGATGGAAGGGATTCCATTTCCTACACTCTCTTGGATGCCTCCAAGAAGGCATCATTCTTAAATGCATTTGACAAAGCAGGATTTAAATCGTTAGATAAGGTCTTGGTTGCCTATAAACCTCGGAGGGGGACGTTCGCAGCGTTTGAGGGTGAAATGACCACAGAAGAAGTAGAGGGGTTCATTGGCTCAGTTCTTAATGGGGATATACGTTTTTCCAAGACTCGGCAGAAACCCGTCCTCAAATGAGAGCTATGGTGACAAAGTTTGGGCCAGGTAGTTTCTGGCTTATGTGTACATAGCTTCACTATTTATGTACAGAAAACATAACACAAATTTAGACTAGAACTAAGGAGGATCTGTCGAGGAGCATCCGTCGTCATCTTGATAAAGTGGGCTTGAACCCTACATAAGTGGTTCTTTTTGTAATGCCATAGTAGAAGTCTGTCTCATACATTTGGTTGTATGACCCGTGTAATTTATTTGTTCTTTTACGCGGTGTAAAATTGATGACCAAAATATATATGAAAATGAGAAGCTGATGAAGTTTGTAATTCAAGTTCTGGTTTTATCAGATACTGATCCGCGTCTTGCTGATTTTCATTTATTTGTGACCTGCATGCAGCGTGGTGATTGATGGATGCCCTGTTCTCTTATGAGCTTTCGTTGCTCCTTTATTTGGATTTCTTTTCTTTCTTTTCTTTCAAGCACTGGTTAATCAAATCCTATCTCACTACCGTGACTTACTCTAATGCCATCTCAATCTCTATCTTCTCACAGCTTGGGCTTAGCTCAAAAATGTTTAGTCTAAGAGTAGATACAAATTATTATTGTTATTCAAATCACTTACTCATTGCTATGAAAAAAAAAGAGAAGAAGACATTATCTTATGCATTAAAAGCAAGATACTATTTCATCGAATTTCTACATCATTGAATAATTAAATTTAGGTGAATAAGTTATGACATCAACTTTTGAATACCAACCCGACGTGACAGGACGTTATATATTTACATAAAATAAGAAGTTACCACACAAATTGATGACTCTAGTATTATTAATTAGTGCACCGTGCACGATGGTCATTGGCCAAACTTGCACCAATTTTCTGTTCTCTAGGACCACACCACACCAACAAGAACCAGCCAGTTATCTCTACACCATTCCATGCATAATTAACCCAATTAACAAAAACCAGCCATTTAATCATTGCTATATGGCGCTTTCCTTTTTTATGCATGCCCACAAGATTAAGATTGGACAGATGCAATGGATACGTAGTGCATTTCTTTTATTAACGAACATTTTGTATATAACTCCTCACGGAAACTCATTCATTTTTTAGTGTTTGTGATCAAACATTTCAAAACTTCACCATCTGGACTTGAAATTGCTCATATCAAATCCATGTCCAAATTACCAAACCATTTCTCAACGAACACAAAGGACCAAAACCCACTATAAAAACCCAAATCCCCTCTCTCTCTCTCTCTCTCTCTCTCTCTCTCTCTCTCTCTCTCTACAGCACAACACAAATGCCATTACAAAGCCTCCATTTTTAAGTGTTTCTTCTAATTCTAAGTGTGGTCAAAGTCACACAGATTCATTGCCTCCCAGGTAAAATTTGGCCTCTCCGATTTACCTCTGCACTGATTGAAGTGTTTTATGTAAAGCTTGTGACTTGTAAGTAAAAAGATTCAATTATTGGTTTGCTATGTCACACAGATTCAGTAATCAAATGGCCTTGGAGGCAGCAGTTGAAGCAGCAGCAGACTTGTTGGACAAGGCAGTGAAAACAGTTATGGTGGGTGAGCCTAAACTCCGAGTTGCACAAGCAGCTGATGCTTTTGCTGAGCTAGCTGATGCTAGTGGTTATGCTCTGGCTGTGATGCCTTCAGCAAAGGGGCTTGTGCCAGAGCACCACCCTCATTTCATTGGGACATACTGGGGTTCTGTGAGCACCACCTTCTGTTCTGAGATTGTGGAGTCTGCAGATGCCTACTTGTTTGCCGGATCGGTTTTCAATGACTACATCTCTGTTGGTTACTCAGCCCTTTTGAAGAAAGAGAAGGCAGTCATAGTGCAACCGGATAGTGTGACCATTGGAAATGGCCCTGCATTTGGTTGTGTTGTAATGAAGGATTTTCTGAAAGCTCTATCAAAGAGGATTAAATGGAACAAGACTGCTTATGAGATGTGCTCCTACAGAGCCTTTGAGGGTTAATGTTCTGTTCCAACACATCCAAAAGATGTTATCAAGTCAAACAGCTGTGATTGCTGAGACAGGGGACTCATGGTTTAACTGCCAGAAACTGAAATTGCCACCAGGTTGCAGGTAATTAAGCCATGGACAAAATTTGATCTTAATTTGATGCTTGTTTTTATGATTTTAATTGAGCAATATGATAATGGGTTTGCAGGTATGAATTCCAAATGCAATATGGATCAATTGGTTGGTCAGTTGGAGCAACTCTTGGGTATGCTCAGGCTGCACCTACAAAGCGAGTGATTGCTTTCATTGGTGATGGGAGTTTCCAGGTGCACTTATAACATTGTTCAATGTGAATAATCACTGGTCACATATATGAATTCTTCAATACTAAATCAAGTGATTTGGAAAAATCTTTCATTTTGATTTGAACCTCTACACTTTTAATCACAATTTTGATATATAGCAGAAGTTCCTTTTGTTTCCCAAGTTGACGTGTTTATGGCTTTCTTGTTGTATGTGGTATATGATTGATAGATGACTGCACAAGATGTGTCCACAATGCTGAGAAATCGGCACAGAAGCATCATCTTCCTGATAAACAATGGAGGATACACAATTGAAGTTGAGATCCATGATGGGCCCTACAATGTGATCAAGAATTGGAACTCCACAGGACTGGTTGATGCCATCCACAATGGGGAAGGCAAATGCTGGACAACAAAGGTTCATTGCGAAGAGGAGTTGATGGAAGCAATTGAGGTTGCAGAGGGGGAAAAGAAGGAATGCTCGTGCTTCATTGAGGTGATTGTTCACAAGGATGGAGCTGCTTCAATGAGTGTCTAAGGTTGCTGCAGTCAATAGCCGCCCACCAAGCCCTCATCAGTAAACTCACATATAGGTCATCAACTGCATCAACGGAGTGCTATTACGGGTGCTTATCGGTTTGAAATTTATAAATTAAGCCAATTCGTATTCGATATAATGTAGATTGGATTATAATTTTTCCAATCCAATCCGATTAGAGCTTACGATTCAATTCTCGTTAAATCTAATCCAATCAAATATTTTAATAGATGTAATTACATCTTTTATATAATATAGTTTATAAAAAGACGATATCGATCGAAAATCATGGATAAGGCGTGTGACAGTTTGGACTCCCTCATTAATGGCTGAGAAATTATCAAGCACCCTCTTGTAACAGAAGCACAGCCCTAATTTGATTTACATAAAATGTTAGTAGTTTGGATGAATATTCGCTCTTCAAATTTTGGATCAAGCCAAAAACTATTTCTTTGGTGTGGCAGCACACTTCACATGATGCTGTTAACCTTGAATCAAACGTCCCCAATAGTAAGACATTATAACTCGTGTATTAATGCTACATTCTAGATCCATACCATATATAAATTTTATCGTTAATTTATATTAAATTACATGAATTGAGAACACTAAATGATAATGTGACGGTCACACCAAATAAACCGAGACCACTTGGCTCGATATGTGGATGTAAATCGTTGCTGTCCTTTGTGGAATCAAGTTACAGAAAGAATAAACCACTTGTTTTCTGAGTGCAGTTTTGCTTGACAAATTTCGCAAGCTTTGAAACATTTAATTGGGTTTTCTTTGGGTTCATGTGTCCTTTAAAGTCTTGTTCGATGTTCGAGCTTTGAAGGACACACTAATCCAAAGAAAACCGAGACATGGAGCCCATAGGTTGTGTTTTTTTCTTTCGAGCAGAACACAGTTTTTTTTTTGGGGTAGAAAAACCTCAAACATTGCTTGATTTAGGTTTTGACTGCCAGACAATGGAGACGTGCCTAGTCCGACTTACCAAAGAGTCTGGTCTGTGACCGTAGTGGAAAAGTATAATGCCCTCACATTTGTTCCTGTGATTGCGCCACGTCACATGATGAGATCATGAGAATCACAGTCTACTACGCTTGCTTTCCGCACTGCAATGTGCATGCATTATGCATACCGCTCGCTTCCAAAACTTGGAAATTGCCAATTACCGGCGACTCTTGTGGTTTCCAAAACCAGTGGATTTTCTCCCTTTCTCGGATACAGTATTATTCCATAACGTCGTCGTCGGTTTGGTAATATGACTCTGGAGGAGCCGTTACGCGCCAAGTTTACGATCAGAAAGCCACGTGTCACTCATTGCGAGTGGCTGAGATTGGGATTTAAATTTGTGTGTTTTGAAAGGGGGGAACGAAAGCAACTTTTAAGCCTTTAAAAAACCAGATTAATTACAGCTAATAATTAATTTTTTGGTAAAACTACGGCTAATTATTCGTTGACGCCTTGACTGGCTTTTCTTCAGGGCCACGAAAATACGTCCACCGTCAATTCTTGTAAACCATTTCACGCGCACAACAACAACAACCATTTATTTAATTACTACTTTACTGTTACCCTTTTATGGTTTTACCTTTGTTCATCTTTTGCATATTGACCACGGTCCGTGTGTTAAGTCCACAATATTAGAAAGAATTCAAAGGAGTTATAATATGCATTTGACTTTGCCATTAAACTAAAGCCACACGTAATTAAGATATTTTCCAACACAATTGAACAAGATCCAAAAGAAAACAGAAAAAAGCAAAACAAGATGCTGATACTTTGCCCAAAAAAGCAACGTCTTTTACAATTCTAAGTCCTCGGTAAGAAATCAAAGAAGTCTTGTTATGCGTTGGCTCTGAAATGGGGTAGCCTTGCCACCCCATAATTTTTTTTTTCACCCAAAAAAGAAAAGAGAGATTCGAAATTAAAAGTTTCCACTATTATAGAGTTCTTGTCATTGGTTGGGTCACTAAATTCCATAGCTAAGTTGCAGATTTAATTGGAAAATAATCAGAATTTTCTAGTCCTTTCTAAACGAAACTCAGAAAAATCAGAAACAATTATTATAATACTTGCGCGCCACTCATTCACCTGTATTAAGAATCCACTGCCACCCACTGCCTTCACTAAAAGCCTCTCATGAAAACCGCCCCTGGTATCTTCCCTTCTCTGCCGACCGCCCTATAAAAACCCACCTCCCTTTTCACCACTAAACATCAAAAAACCAAAAACCAAAAATCCCATTTCTCGCTACACGAAAATTCTCATCACAAAGTTTCGATTTTTATTGTTTTGAGTGTTTCTGAGTGTCTCCATCTTTCTTTTGTTTTGAGTGTTTCTGAGTGTGATCGAAGTCACTCAACAATCCATGGACACCAAAATCGGAGCACTTGGCGTTTGCAAGCCCGCAAGCAACGAAGTGGGCAGCCTGCCAAACGGCACAGCTATGGCGATTCAGAATTCTGCCCCCTCCACCGTGATCAACTCTTCCGAGGCCACTCTGGGTCGCCACCTTGCTCGCCGACTCGTCCAAATCGGGGTCACCGACGTCTTCACTGTGCCCGGTGACTTCAACTTGACCCTTCTCGACCACCTCATCGCAGAGCCTGGGCTCACCAACATTGGCTGCTGCAACGAGCTCAACGCCGGCTACGCCGCTGATGGCTACGCTCGCTCTCGTGGCGTCGGCGCGTGTGTTGTTACTTTCACTGTGGGGGGGCTCAGTGTTCTCAATGCGATCGCTGGAGCCTACAGTGAGAACTTGCCTCTGATTTGTATAGTTGGAGGACCCAACTCTAATGACTATGGAACCAACCGGATTCTTCACCACACTATTGGGTTGCCTGATTTTACCCAAGAGCTTAGGTGCTTTCAGACCGTCACTTGCTATCAGGTCAGTATGAGATCAAAGTTTGGTTTTTTATTTTATTGTTGAACTTTAACTTCATTGATTGTTATTGGGTTTCTAATGGATTTGGTTAAAAGATTCATAGTGAGTTTGATTTGCCCTTATTTTTCGAAGTTCTGCTGATTTTTGGTATGTGGGTTTTTATTAGGCTGTCGTAAATAATCTGGAAGATGCACATGAATCGATCGATACGGCAATTTCAACTGCTTTGAAAGAAAGCAAGCCTGTTTACATTAGCATAAGCTGTAACTTGGCTGGGATTCCCCATCCTACGTTTAGCCGGGAACCAGTTCCATTTTCATTGTCTCCCAAGTAAAGTTTTGGGCTTTTTTAAAATTCCATTTGATGACGTGTTGATTAAAGGTTGTGCTTTTTAATTTTGAAGTGTGGGATTGATTTATTTGTTTTGTTGTACAGACTGAGCAATCAGTGGGGCTTAGAGGCTGCAGTTGAGGCAGCTGCAGAGTTCTTGAACAAGGCAGTGAAACCAGTTATGGTAGGTGGGCCTAAACTGCGAGTTGCACATGCTGGTGATGCCTTTGTTGAACTAGCTGATGCCAGTGGTTATGCTCTGGCTGTGATGCCTTCAGCAAAGGGGCTTGTGCCAGAGCACCACCCTCATTTCATTGGGACATATTGGGGCGCCGTGAGCACTGCCTTTTGTGCTGAGATTGTGGAGTCTGCAGATGCGTACTTGTTTGCTGGACCAATTTTCAATGACTACAGCTCTGTTGGGTACTCTCTCCTTCTCAAGAAAGAGAAGGCAATCATCGTGCAGCCCGATCGTGTGACAATAGCAAATGGCCCTTCATTTGGTTGTGTTCTCATGAAGGATTTCCTCAGAGCACTAGCAAAGAAGCTCAACCACAACAACACTGCTCATGAGAACTACCGCAGGATCTTTGTTCCTGATGGACACCCTCTACAGTGTGCACCCAGAGAACCTTTGAGGGTTAATGTTCTGTTTGAACATGTCCAAAAGATGCTGTCAAGTGAAACAGCTGTGATTGCTGAGACAGGGGACTCATGGTTTAACTGCCAGAAACTGAGATTGCCGGCTGGTTGCGGGTAAGCCAAGGATAGAATATGGTCTTTCATGTTCCTTTCTATGTTTTGGTTCATGCTTTTAATTGGAATTTTGAAATTGGCATTGCAGGTACGAGTTCCAAATGCAATATGGATCAATTGGTTGGTCAGTTGGAGCAACTCTTGGGTATGCTCAGGCTGTTCCTGAGAAGCGAGTGCTTGCTTTCATCGGTGATGGGAGCTTTCAGGTGCATTTTATTCCTTTCCTCATTTTGATCAAAGCCAAGCATATATATAAGTACGTAAATCTCCAGAACTCTGTAGTTTACAGCTAGGAATCTTATAGAGAGTGTTGTAGAAAATTGTATTTGAAATGTGAAGCAAAGATTGGCATATTTGCTTTTCTCAGTGTTGAAGAGTTTCTTTGAGCTTCTCCTATTTCAGACACTAAAATCTCACAGAGATTCCATAATTTTCTTACATTTTGTTGTTTAATGCCTAATAGGTGACTGCCCAAGATGTGTCGACAATGATTCGAAATGGGCAGAAGACCATCATCTTCCTGATAAACAATGGTGGATACACCATTGAAGTAGAGATCCATGATGGACCATACAATGTGATCAAGAACTGGAACTACACAGGACTTGTTGATGCCATCCACAATGGAGAGGGCAAGTGCTGGACAACCAAGGTGATTAGTTCGTTAATTCGTTTTCTTAATCTCCTTTAACCTCACTAATTAATGATTTAATCAAAGGGCTTCCTGGATCATAACACTCCTTGTAATTGAATTTACTACTTTTGCAGGTCCGTTATGAAGAGGAGCTGATTGAAGCAATTGAGACTGCAACTGGGGACAAGAAGGATAGCTTGTGCTTCATTGAGGTGATAGTTCACAAGGATGATACCAGCAAAGAGTTGCTTGAGTGGGGGTCTAGGGTTTCTGCGGCCAACAGCCGCCCACCCAACCCTCAGTAAACTCTTTCATGCCATGGCCTTCATTAATGTAGTGTTATTTGTTCTGAAACATTAGAATGTTGCTCTTTCTTATGGAGGGTTTCTTATGTTTCTTGTTGTTTTTTTTTAAAAAATTTCCCTTGGTAAACGGTGTCTGTGTTTTACTTGAATTTTTGTTGGGTTCTATGTATATTCCCCTTTGAATTTGAGCATCTTCTGATATTTTAGTTTATGTGGATCCCAAATGAATTGCGCAAAGCAAGGTGTCTTTTTTGACTTGTTTATGATGACAAATCAACGTGTTCAAATAACGTTGTTGATGACAGTGACTAATATCATTGTCATCATCTGCCAGCATTTTTAGACCTAAAGTATTGACCCAAATGTCCTGCAATCTGTCACGGTTGTTTTGTATAATTGATGCTGAGTTCATTGTTAATTATGCACAGGTGGAGGTTTAGAAAGGGACAGAGAGGAGTATGGATGCATATATATCCTCGTTTTTCTGTGTTACAAACAATTAGCGTTGACGACAGTCGGAATCTTAGTGTAGGTGTGTGTATAAAATCCCATGAGGAACAAGAATGAAAAAAAAAAAAAAAAACGATAATGGAATCCTATGTTGATAGATTATCAAATCGTTGTACATGTTCCACCAACCATGTTTGTAAGGCTTTAAATTATATGATTTCTCCTAAATTATTTCAGAGACGACAAAACTCACATGATTAATACTTCTTACGAAATACTTCAAATATTTATTTGTTTGTTTGATAATCAAAGATATGAGTAATATCTTTTTAATTATAATTTTCAAGATTTTTTGTCTGATTTTTCTATGCAGTTTTCGTTGTGCTAAACCGTAAATTTGAGGGTTGAAGCATCAATTCCATTAACCATGCCATCAAAATTGGAATTCCCGCATCTTTTTATCTTGAGTTCAGCTAATTTAGCTCATTCATTGAGTCAAGTCGACAGCCAAACTAACATGCTGCATGCATGAGAATACTATGGGGCCATTGGAAGGCATATGTAGCCACCAGCCAAATGTTCCTTTGGCTATGAAAATACACTTTCTCATGGCCCTCCGCGGGCAGAGAAACTTGTGAGAATTGAGAATCTTGAAAAACCATACCAAGCATCTCATTGCAATACCAGTTTCGCCAATCACAAAGCATCTGTTGTTTATATACAACAAAATTTGGATGAGATACAATGGCTGGTGGCACACCTACGCATCAATGCTGACATTGCATGGCGCGAGCACTAGACGACCCTTTTGGAGCAGGGTGACTGGAAAAGAGGCTCGACAGTTTGTAATGTGTGATTTTAATCGGGGTATGTTGGGGTGAGCACTTCTACACCGGTGACATCGCAACTCCATGGACAACATGCTGTCCTCATCTTTTAGTATTGCTTTTCCATCACTACTGACTTCCTCCATTACATCCACAGAGTCTCGAAAGAAAGCAGTATTAAAGGAGTTCCAATGTTTCTTATTCTTTAAATGTGTTGAATCAAAATCCTGGCTAATAACATGCAGGTGCAGCTGTCGCATTGACGGTTCCTGCAAGAGAAAACATCCAAAAGTGCTTATTAGGTAGCCTCGTTTTCAGCTCCCTAATTGGACCACAAGTTATCTCCATCACTTGATTTTTTTGTGTTATGCATATCTCTTGCTTCCAATTCCACTATAAAAGTATGTTCAAGATAAAGAGATGGGACAAATTGATAGAGGAGAAGACACATTACTAAAAGCACACACTACCATTTCACTCACGATTTCCATAAAGAAATTTCTACCCAAACCTAAAGAGTTGCATATCTGATATGGATTCTTATTGTTTCTGTACTATCCAGGATGAGGGAAAGGGTCTTCACAAGACAATGTCAAAGAAAACAAATATAACAACGAGCTCTAAGCAGAGTATCATGCATACCGAGTGATATCCAAGCCGAAAGACCAATGATGAATCATCATGCAAGAACTTCTCAGCCCACTTCAAACCAACAGCATGCATTGTCCTTAACAACTGAAGGTGTTCTTTACGTACATCTGCCAGGCAATCAAGACCTTCATATCGTGCCACCACCAGAACATGCCTTTGTGCCTGCAAAATTCCAAAGTTCTTTTAATCAGCTAAAAAGTAGAAGAGGATGGTGAAAAATATAATAGGTGACATTTACCTTTGGATAAAGATCATTCAGTACAACAACATCATCGGATATCTCTAGTACAGCATCCCTGTGCTTCTCTGGCTGCATAGCAATGTTGTAGAGAGCCTGAGCCCATGACCCCCAGGATTTAGTCCTGCTTCCATCAGACTTGTTGCTCAGGTTTACTTTACCAGCACCAGAATCAGAGGCATCTTCAGTTTCATCCCGATATCCTTTACTTCTTTTGCTCCTCTCAGATTTATGAAGACCCTCTCTCTTATTCTTTTGATCAGTGTTAGTAAAATGATCTTTAGGGACACCGTCAGGGAGATCTTGTGACTCTGTCATCTTTGACTGAAGGTTTTCAATGCTTCCCTTGGGTAACTGCGCTTGGGACCTTACAATTGATGAAAAACCTTCAAAAAGTGAAGTGTAAGCCTCCTGGAGAACTTCGCAGCCTTTAATGTAGTCATTGTTCAGACAATTTGGTCTCTGTGGGTTCATGTTGGGTCCAACAACATGTATGACATGGGTTACCCCTTCCCTACAAAACAGTGGAGAAGCTGAAGGGAGAGGCACAACCACAGCATTCCCAGGAAGCAGAGATTTGGCCTGTTCTTTGGTTGCAACCTCCAAAGCTTGACCTCCAGCACTGAAGATTGCAGCATTGACACCTCCACCTCCAGGTTTGAGTCGCCTGCAGCATAATATTTTTTGTTCAATCTACTTAATATGCAAACAAATATATACTCCCAGTTTTTGGCATATCCTCCAGTTTTTTATTTTTACTATTTCGGTATTCTGAACTATTTACATGCATATTACGTACAGTTTTTCTAAAAGCTTACCAATTAGCAGCATTAGCTATTACGTTGCAGTGTAAACCCCCTTCTGAATGAAGCCGAGTGATATCTCCTACAAATGTGAAGAACTTGTTGGAATCAATGTTCTTCTCTGAAGCTTTAGTCCTTACCAAAGACAAAATCTTTGATTTATGACTTAAGTCCACTAAAACAAGTCTAGCATTTCCAAGCTTATTCACAAACTTTGCGACTTTCTCAACAATAATGTCAGATGCCTTCTCGAGGTCAAATTGAAAGTCTGCTGTTGATATAGAGGGAAATGCCAGAGTAGGAGCATCCTCAAGAGAAACATCGCCGCCAGCTAAGCCTACAAGTGGCTCTTCACCTTCCTTTAATTTCCTACCAGCATTCTCAGATAATGAACTTGTTCCTTTCGAACAGGTATCCTTCTCTTCAATAATTTGAGAAGCATTAGAATCTGGAATACTTTTCGAAAGTGATTCAGAACTAGCAGGAGCATCTGTTTTCTTTAAGAACTTCATTATGCCGAGTTGAATTTTGGCACCGGGATTCTTCTGGCCAAAATAGCCATTGGGAAGTGTATCCAAAGGACCAAGTCCACTATATGCATCGATGGCAGATTGAACATCACTCTCATTCTGGCAAGAAGTGATTCTAGCAAACCCTTCACTCAGTTTAGGCAGTTCTTTCTTTTGCAGCATTCTATTCACAACCGCAGCAGCTCTCCCACCTTGCAAGTTTCCTTCATGGCCTGTTCGCTTCACAGACCGCGATATACAAAGCTTGGCAGGAAGATCAAGCACCACAGCATGAACATCAACCTGGGGACCACCAAGCTTAACAAACTCATTGCGTTGTTCTTTCTCTAGATTGCATCTATCTATAAACACACTCTTCCCATCCTTCAATGCATTAACTGCACTCTCTATACACTGAGCTTTGGTTCCAGCTTTACCACTTTTGATAGTGTCCTACAAAACACAAGAAATCAAAATGTAACGCACAGAAAGAAGAACCCAAATGTATCATGCCTATCGTCCTGAAAATAGTAATTCGAAACACACTGAGGCATTTCGTCGAACACATTGTAGTCGGAAGACATAAAGAAAGACCTGACAGACGCGAACCCAGGGACGGGTAGAGGAGCGCATGACATGTTCACAGAAGGTGGACTTGCCGCTTCCAGGTGCGCCCATCAATATTACCACGATTGGCCTTCCATGCTTTTCATCGCCTGTTAGCACAGGAATTTCTGGTAATGTTAAAAAGCGTATGAAGGTTCTGTGATAACCAAAGGTGACGACCTAAAGCAATAAAACGCAGAGTTTTGGAAAAAAGAAGGGCTTACCTTTGGCTGTTTCGTCAATATCTATGTCCATTTTCAGTGAGACTCTGTCACTCTTCGAATCAACGGCTTGAAACCAACGGTCACTTCTCCTACCGGAAGCTTCTATCACCGGTGGATGGTTTTTAAGAAATGTGTGGGAAATGTGCATGTGACACGTGGGAAAGAGTTGCTCTTCGGCTTCGACAGTTCAGCCCATTGAGCTTTCCTTTCAAGCCCAAACCCATATTTGGAACAAGCAAACGTAGGCAGAAAACCACGTGGATTTTGGGGAGGAGTTTCTTCCACAACCCAAATTGTTAGCATGGTCTCTCAATGACGTGGATTTTAGTATAAATCTATAGGTGAAATTACTTTCATACTTCAGTTAGTAAAATACCATATTTTCTGAAAAAAAATACGGAACAAAAAAAATACGAATAAAATTTGTACGCATATTATCTGAAAAAAAAGAAGCAATAGTATTTCAATAATAATTGTAAGTAGGGATGATAAAAGACTGAAAGTAGGTTGGTGATTAAAGCTAAATGACATGCAAGGTTGTTATATAATGTGAACTTGAATCCAAGATTATGGAGCTCTTTGGTTCGAAATTTCCTCAGCATATCTTAATGTCTGTGGTTGGACATGAACATACAAGAGCACATGGCACATAAAATCATCTGCTTTCTTCCACCGAACCAAGTCAATACTCACCACAAAATCCAAGTTGGAAACCAACAAGTAGATTGTAGCCGGCCCCACTAGATAGATAGGGCAAGACTTCAAAGTCCACAAGTCAATACATAAAGCAACCTCACAATGTTCTCAATCCGACATGTCAATATCTCATGTGACAAATTTTCCATAGTTCACACACTATTGCAGAAGTGTAATAGAGTTTGCTACTTTTTGGTTGTTGGGT